TTTGCCCCAATGCGTAAAATCTGTTTTTGACACTGTTACAGGTTGAAGGAGAAGGGTTAATTTCACAGATGTCTAAATGTTTGTTCTCAACCAAACCAGTCATCAGTCCTCCCAACAGGCTTCTGAGGAAACTTTTATTTCCTGAGGGAACAACTGGATTGCGGGATTTCTTCATGTCCATCATTTCTCTACATTTCCTGCCTTTGTAGTCTACCCACCCAAATGATTTGTGTTGCACAGATATTTTATTTCTTGTGTTGTGCCTTTGTTCATGGGTCTCTTTTGCCTAGAAAGTGTGTTTTTCTCCTATTCACACGGTTAATTTCTCTGCATCCCTGTTCAAGTGCTGCTTTCTCCAGGGGGCCTTCCCTGTTTCCCTCAAGAATGGAGAATGTACAGTTGATCCTTTGTGTTTCCATGATTCTTTGCCACCTCAGCATCACTGAACTTCCCCATCATTTTCTAATCAGTTGGCTGTTTCCATAAGCTCACTCAAAGCTGGCCCATTACTTATTTCTGTGTGTCCTATCCTTAGACAATGCTAAAATGTGAGTTATACTCAAAGTTGTTTGTTGAATGAATAAATAATTCAGAGATACACTCTCAGATGAGTAAAGCCTCCCTCACATCATCCATGCACCCAGAATAGTAACTTGGTAGTAGTTCCACTGATGTGACTCCCTCAAAATAAAATGAACAATCCAGTTATTCTCCTTCTCTTCTACCTTTGGGAGCACCCCTCCATTTTTACCAATATTTTGGAATGTCACAACCTTCCTGGTGGTGGACTTTCTGCCTGCCAAATGGGTCTAATCCAACCAGTTCTTGGAACCTGCCAACATTAGTTAAGGATCTAATGAGAATGATGAGGAGCTTTGCAGAATCAGAGGCACTACACAAACCTGTGGCATTATTACACACACACACACACACACACACAACACACCCCCCCAGTGTCATGGTGCCATTTGACCTTCTCTTGTCCTGGGATTCATCTTGATTTTAGGAATTCACTCTTCAGTCTTAAGTTGAATAAACAAAGGCAAAGACCCATTCAACATCCTTTCTTTAGTCTTGGAGAGGAAAGGGGGGAAATGATACATGTTTGTATTCTGTACTTAGTATTGTTAGCAAGCCTGTCTGGAGAGAGGGCAGCTCTCAAGGCCCTATATTTTAAACATCTGTTTTTAAAACTAGTGTAGTTTTCTCCTTAGAAACACTCATTGCTTTGACATTTTCAGATTTGCTACAGTGGAAGGTCAATAACTGTGCAGTTTTAGAAAGTACATCCCCTCTCTGCTTGGGTCCGTCTGGGGAAAAGCAATTCATACATCTTTTAAAGCTAGGACCATTGCATTACCCAGGTGGAAGGGTGACTTTTAGGGCTAGTAAGCATGGAATTTTCTCACTTCATCCCAATTATGGAAACACCTGCACTAAATAGCACTCAAAAATTACAGTGCTTGGTCCTGCATAGACATGTGGACACATGTCCCTGAGTGAGCAGTATCTGCCCTAGCAAAACAGGGCCATTCTTGCCCCCTTTCTAACTTTGGGATTACCTGTATCAGCCTCATTTGACAATCCTAAGATTCCCTTTAGTTGCTATGGCACCTCCCTCGTCATTCATTCACTTAGTCACCCAACAATAGTTTATTAAATTCTGACCATCTGCCAAGGGCTTAACCTGAGTGCTGGGATGAAGCTCTGGTCTCCCCCATGGATGAGATTGATGGTCTAACTGGAAAGAGATTGTGTCTATAAACAAGAAGATATATGATGTAACTGAAATAAAAACAAAGATAAATAGAACACAATGGTAGAACTTTCATCTCTTAGGTAGGACCTGTAAGGAAGGCATGCTTCCCATGGGAGATGATATTTGAACTTCCATTCGAAGAACAAGTTCGTCAGATGCATAAGAGAAAGATATCTACACGTTTAATGTGGAGGATAGTATGTGCATTCAAAAGGTAGATAGAGTAATGTACTACTCAGAGAATGATGAGTTGTTCAGTGTGACTGTGGTTTTTGGAAGTGGACTGGGAAGCACAAGGGGCAGGAAAACTAAACAGAGTTTGGGTTTTGGAGGACCTGAAATGCTAATGAGTTTGTCTGTTCTTTAGACAAGGGAAGATCATTGAGGAATTTTGAGCTATTTCATCACAATAAATATGGGTATTTTGTGTGGAACTAGTGTATCCAAATACCCTGGGATCCTTCTGAGCAGTGGATGAGTCCCAGCAACACCAGGATCTGGTCTCTCAATCTTTCCTCCTATGTCTGAATCTCTCCAGATAAGTTTGAGAGTGCTTGAAATAGTAACTTTTTTTCTGAGATTGGCATCCTTAAGATGAGTTCTGCTTTCCCACTCTCTAGGAACTAAATGTCTTAATGCCCTTGCACCTTACATATCCATATTAAATAAACTTTGGTGTAAAACAAAATCAGAGGGTTACTTTTTGGTTAGAGATTAATAGTGCTCCCCACATTCAGTTATCCTCTCCTTTCTGGGCACAGAGGAAGTTTTCCCAGCTTCCCTTGGCACTCAGTTTGACCACATACTAGTTAAGGCTAGTGGGTTCTGAAGATAAGCAAATAAGTGTCATTTCTGATTAAAATACTTTGCAGTGGTATAAGTTTTCCATTCCCCCCCTCCCCGCCCCTGCAGTACTAGGTAGGCCCAGATTGAGATAGCAGTGTCAAGAGGTGGTGAGAACCTTCCTCAGTTGGAAACCTGAATGACCATATGGAGCAGAGCTACTGCTAACTCCTGTGGAAGATGAAGCAGGAATCTAAAATAAAGCTTTGTTGTATTGCACCACTGAGATTTTAGAAGAGATTTGTCCCCACAGCCAGGGGGAAATCCAGGATTTGTGGGGTATGAAACTTATACGATTTGAAGGATAGGTGTTTTTATAAAAACAGAACACGAAAATAACTTACTTCCATAAATTTGACAAAACATATGACCTCGAAGACTCATTGCTACGGTCCTTCCAGGGCCCTGGGAGGGGTCTGTATAGATAGAGACCCTGATGCTTAAGGCTTGCTAGCTTCGTAGTAAATCTGCCTCTCCCCGCAGCACAGACTACTCTGATATAATTTCCTAAAAACATTTCCATCTCAGGCCTTCTGTTTCATCATGGAAGGAAAAGTTTGTTTCCCGATAGGGCAATTCGTTCATTCCTTTAAAGGTAGGAAAGATTTTGGAGGGGGGCTGGTGAATATTCCTCTTCTCCTAAAACCATCACTGTGGTGGCATATACCCATCCACACCTGTGCATCAGCCCAGGAATGCCATTTGTGTCTTTTGAAAAAGGATCATATACACCTTGCAACCGACGGGAATAGTTTGCCAAACACTCCAGCTTTTACTTCTATTAGCTTTGAGAGTTTGCAGATTTCTATCAGAATTCTCAGTGACTGATTGGTTGCTCAATGGATCCATCTATTCATTTATTCACTTATTAAACAAATAGTTCTTATGTCAGACATAAGATGATCAACAATATTTTTGTGGTGCCTGCACTCCTTGCATTTAAAAATCCAGCCAATTCCTTGATCTGTTACTACTGGAATATATGGAGGCTAAGTTAATTCTTTCTGATCTGTGGGTTAAGATTGTCCTGAGCCAAATGGGTTGACTGACCTTTGCCCCTTTCCTACTTCCCATTTGAGGCATGTGGGAAGAATGAATTAGGTCATTCAGGAAAAACTGTTATAGCCTCAGGAAGAAAAGTGCTATTTAAATCCAAATCATTAGCACCAATAAATCTAATAATAGACATATAAATTCATAATGCATTTGAATAACTCTAAAATAAATATGTGTGGTGATTAAGTGATGCCATAATTGGAACTCTGTAGGTGGAAGTGGGATGAGGGGGAGAGAAAATCACTTTTCTTCTATCCTTATTAACCATCCAAATTTGGGAAGTGTTACTTGGAAGTGGAATTGTGAGAGCATCTCTGATTACGAAGGGCAGGCTAATGCAATTAGTTTCTATGAGACATTTTTGTAAGGTGTACATGCATGTCCTTTGAGTCTATTTGTCATTGTTATTATTAAAATTTTTGTTAAATTGCCAAATTTCATAGCAGTCAAGTAGCTTTATATGGGAATAATGCTAAATGTGGAGCTTGGGTGCACTCAGGTAATCATTGAAATATGAATGGTGGTCATGGATTAGCAAACACTTTTTCTCAAATTTCATGCAGTTTGTAGGCTACAGTGCTTCATTCTTATTGTGTGATACATAATGGGTCAGTACTTACAGATTTTCTGTTTTTTAGTGCCAGCCCCTTTCTTCCCCCCAATAAGAGCTATCTTTATGACACCCACATATTTTAAATGAAAGAAAACATAAATACATGCAAAACTGTCATTGGCTTTTAAGGTATTATATAAGTGATTAAATTTTATCATGAGGAGACAACCAGCTAATGGTTTTAGTGGAACACATAAAACCTCATAAAATACAAAAGTTAAATTTTGTCATATAATGGGAATCGGTTAGAGAAACCAACAGTTTCCTTTTCCCCCTGAATAAATTCTAAACAGTCCTTAGAAAATGAATTACCAGACTGCAAATCAGGATGAAATATTTTATAGCCATAAAACTAAAGCTACTTTCAGACCACTTAGTTGGAGGGGGGGAAAAAAGAGAGAGCAACTTGTCAGCCCTGTTGTTGCAATGTCATTGCCAATGGCATTGATGCTGGGCTCTGCCTCCATTTTAGCAGTTTGACCTTGTTTAGAACAACCTGAATCCAATCGACAGGCCTCCCTCACAATACCCCACCCATAATAGAAGGCACAGCCCCTCCAAGAGCGTGTTCAGCTGGAGCTTTGCCAATTGAAGTAATTACGTGATGAAACTATTTAACTTTGACTAAAATACTCTCACCAGGTTCTTGCAAACGGTGTGTCTTATATCTTGTTGAAGCAATTTTATATCATGCCTTTAAAGTACAGTAATGGCCCCTTGCATTGACAGAGTCCTCGTAAAAGGAGAAGACCAAGACCTGGCTCATGAAGTGGTATTGATTTTCTGAGTTCCTGCTCGAGTTGCCAAAGATACAACACTGTTGTTAAGGAGAGGAGATGCCTTGGCCTTCAATATCACAGGAGGGTTCCTCGGTAAGCACAGGCGTCAGGAGGCCCCTGTGATAAATAATGCATTTGGGTGATAACTGCCTGTATTACTTTGTTAGTTTTGAAGTGACTCAGCACTTGTTCATCCTGAATGCTTCTTGATGTCACTGGTAGCTGTGCCAAACTGTTCTGTAGGTAAATAGTGCCCAGGCTCAAAGAGAGCATCTCTTGAGGGTTAATTTACATGAATGATTTATTTTAGGCAGATTTTTCTAAATTTTAATCAGTGAGGACAATGAACAGATTTGGCTTCTAGGTAGAGTGATGGCTTCAATTTGTTGCTTAACGAGAGCCTAAATGTGTCTGCAGATCCGGAACTATATCTAATACAGGTTAAGTTAGTTTTTAGTCACTTCCAGTAAGTCTGTGTGAAAAAGATTTATAACTTTGAGCATAGCTCTATGTATGTCATTACAGATAGCAAGAGAAGGAAACCGAGCATCTGATCAGATGCTTGCAAAATATGCATTTCCACCAACCTACATAAATGGATACAACTTAATCTTCACTTTTTTTTTCAGTCTTAAGTTGATAAACTGCACAGTGTCTAATGCTGAATAAAAGTAAGAAGATGGATCTGATGATTTTCATGGAAAATTGAAAGTTATGTTTTTTTAATCTATTGAGAATATGAATGTCTATACTCAAAACCTTTTTTTTTTTTTTTTGTAGTGGTGGTGGTGTGCATGTATGGGGAGATGCTGTAGAGATGTAAGGAATAGGAATGTTGTTATATTGACCCCACTCTTGATTGGAACACTTTTTGGAGGAAGCTAAAGATGAGGGTGGAAGGTTTGGAACAGTGGAGCCAGAGCTAAGTCTCTGGTAGAGAACCGTGCAGTATGTATTCCTGACTCCAGCCCCCACAGGGCCCACATGAGTACCCTATGAGAGAAAAGGAGAGGGAGAGGGAGAGGGAGAGGGAGGTGCATATATGGTCTCTCCTCACTCAGAAGACAAAGAAGGCCAGAAAAGCAGGGCAATCAACTGAAACCTTTCACAGTTAAATAGGAAGATATTGACCCATTAGCTTCTCTTTCCTCTCCTGTTCCAACAAACTAGGGGAGCTGGCAGGTTGGCCATGAGCAGGTACACATATTGTGCACTGCTTAACTTTCAGGAATGTCACTAATGTAACAGGGCTCTTTGTTGGAATAACTTTGGTGGAGAGAGTACTGTCTGCCTGGTAGTTTTTGTGAGTGGCACCACTGGAATCATGCAGTGCTCAGCCAGCTTGGCAGTGTGCAATGGCCCTGGAGAAGAGAAGCTATGTAATGAGAAGATGTTTCTACCTCAGTCTCCTCATCCTTACTTCAAGCTGTTAGAGGCCACAAAGGGCCCTAGCCTGGGCTGGGGAGAGAACCTTGAATCATATTTGATGTTGAAATTTTTAAATAAGTAGGAGTGAGTCTTAAATGATACAGATCTATACTAAAAGAGACTAAAGAGTTATGGAACAGCAAGATATGAAGAGGACCATTTATCAGGAGGAGAGGGGGCTTAACATCGTAGAGTGGTAGGCGGTGCTAGAAAAAAGTTGTACTGTTCCGTGTTTATACCGCAATGAGCAGCAACTCCTCAATACATTCAGTGCATATAAAATGAGAAGACTACTGCTTCTCCTTCCCTGCAATCGGAGAATATTTTCTTCAGGTCAAAATACATATTGATTATCTCATGAGTCTAAGAAAAGTCACTTGCCTGGAAAACAGTTTTGCTCGACTTTGTGCTCTAATTCCAGTAAGGAGGTTCCTTCTAGTCATGTGTCTGCTGTGTGCCCAGTTTCCAGGGATGGACTATCACCTTTCCCTGTATCTGAATCCATTCTCATTATGGTTTTCTACAACTGAATGCCTTTACAATCATCATCCTATTTTACTCTCAATAGTTGTCTAGACCCCCATCCCTTACCTGAGTTTTATTTAATCTGATGCCAGCAGTTTAGGGGTTTATTGAGATTCATGTGGAAAGCCTCACAAGCTGGTTGGTTTAGGAGATGTGCTAGTGCAGGACCATTGAGGGCACTGCTGCTTGGTAGGCAGCCTCCTAAGACACAGTGTATCTTATTTCAGGTGGAAGGAAGCATCTTTGACAATCCCAACACCACCCAACATTTACCATTTAGTTGCCAAGGAATGCTGTCATTCCTGGATGCAATCATGTTCTTGTTCTAAATGTTCTGTCGTTTTAGATGGACGATCTAAGGATAGTTAAGGGTCCATTAGCCTGGGGAAAATGAGGAGGTGATGCCCTCTGAAACTTGATGAAGGTCAGTTAAGGACAACTGAAAGATAACACTAATTCACACAGTGGGTAATAAAACAAGGGACCTCATTATCCTAAAAGGTGATACTAGCAGGAAATATAAATGGATTTTAAAAGGGTTTGGACAAATTTATGAATGACAGATTCATAAATGGTTTTAAAGAAAAGTGGGATGCAGTCAACCTTTAAGGTGGATGTCAGGAAGGATAGTCCTACCTTCTTGGGCCTTGCCACTTAGAACTGTTTTGAGCAATAGGACTCAGAGTTGAAGGGAACACAGGCATGGGTGGTCCCCAGCTCAGAAACACATAGAGAGCAGAATAATGTAAGAGGAGAGAATGAGCTTTGGAGTCCTACCACTTTCCAGCTAGGTGGCCTTGGGAAAAGTCAAGTGTCCGAAGTCAAGGATAATATGTAATATGTACCTTGCACAGTTTTTAGGATCAGAGAGACTATATGTATACTATGTTCAAAGTCTCACATGTGGTATGCACTCAAAAATTTCAACTGTCATTATTATAAGTAAATCAATGGAAATTAAAATGACACTCTTTGCTACTTTCAAGCACAGGCACTTGTACTGGGCAGGTGGTTTCATTACATCACTGCATGCTCCATACGTAGAACCACAGAATTTCAGAAGACCATTACCCATAGAATCTTGGTGAGTCAACATTGCTGTGAAGAGGTTGATTCTAAGAACAGCCTCAGGTATTGGTGATTCCTTGTTGTAATTTAGGATCTGTGAGAAGTTTTAGGTGCCCACACTGGAGCCTTATACCTTACCTTCTTGCTGAGTTTCTTTTACGGATGACAGGACTTACTGCAGCTCTGAAAGCTTCCCAAATGACTCTTGAGAATCCTTTGACACCATCACTACCACTACCGTGCTGCCTAAGAATTCGAACTTCGGAAAGTTTACCAAAAAATAAAACAAAAAAACTTTGTGCTGCTAGGAATGGTGAGATTTAAGGGCAGATGACACTTTTGTGTAGGAAAATACTTTGAGGAGCCCTCTTTCTTGAGAAAGACAAACTTCTTTGGATCAATTACTGAAAAGAAGTAAGAGAAAATAGTCATATAGTTTTGCATAATTAAAAAACATAAAATTTGAGTTTTAGAGTGCTAGTTAATAAAAGAGAAAGGCAGGGGACTTTTGCTGGGTGTTTAAGGAAAGAAATGACTGGTGAGAAATTTCATGGGACAAGGATGACCAAAGGACTTTAAGATTAATGATATTTGCTTTTAAATCTTAGGTTGTTCCTATTTTATGTTGTTCCATGATCTCTTCTATTCTACCCAAACTATAAAGTTAGTCATATGCAATAGCTTTGCACTGGTGGTGCTTTGGGGAAGCAAAGAGGACAGAGGAGATGACATACATGGATAAAGTAACCAAGGAAAGAGGACCAGTGTGAGGAGACAGGACCTTAAGTAAGGAGGAATCAGTGAGAGTGACCAGGAAAGTCCTCCTTCCCTTCCTGGGAACTCTCAAATGTATTTGGGATTGCACTACATTTCTCATGTGTGGGACTAGGCCTGAGTCATTTTATCAGGAAATTTAAAGGAGAATGTGACCCTAGAAGATGGGAGGGCCTGGGACATTCAGATTATATGTCTGTTATCATTTGAACTCTGTTTAAATGAACTTACATCCCAAAGATGCCAGTATATGTTACTTTCATTTCAGCTGTCATTTATGGGGAAACAGACCAAAACAAAGAACACTAATCAAATTAATACTCCATTGTATGTGCACAGTGTTAGAAACTTTGCAAAATAGTTTCATCTCTATTATTCATTTGACTCTCCAATCACTCTGTTAAATAGTAGCAAATTATGAAAATTTTATTTTTTCCAAATTTAGGTACCCAGAAATCCCACCTTTCAATAGGTTGTACTTCACCATATGCATGTGAGTCCTTGGATATTTGTTAAGGATTAAGTATTTGACTCATAGTTGGTGAGAAAATCCACATGGACTGGAATGTTGGTTTTGTTACAATTTATGAACCTTGGTATTCAACATTAATATAGAAAAGGTAGAGGGGACATTTGCTGAGCCGAATGCTCAGGTCTCTGGTATCTTGGACACACAGAACAATATGTAAAGTAATAGCAAAAACAAACAGCTTAGGAAAAGCAAAGCAAGGTATCTTTGTAATTCCTGAAAAGGATTTATAACCTATATAAACATGAATCATAAACCCGTTGGCAAATAGATCCAAGCTCTTTCAGGAAGATGTTTCATTTATATGTGGGAACTAAAAACTCAGATAAGAGAGACAGTCAACAACAGAAAAGAAGATTCACGTTACTCAGAACACATAATACCTTGGTAAATGATTATCCTGACATTTTAGTTATAGACATTTGATTTTAATTTCCTCAGCACCTGTGCTCACTTTTGAGGGGACAAGGCATGCCAATAATCTTCTCAGAGTTTTTGGAGTTATATAGCCTAATGGAAGGCCTTCTCTATAAAATACTGGACAAGTTCAGTCCAGTATTAGCTGAGTAGCCTTGAGCAGGTTATGTTCATTCATATGTTTATTAAATTAATCAGTGGCTCTGTTTTCTTTTTTTTTTAAAGATTTTATTTATTTATTTGAGAGAGAGAGTGAGAGAGAGAAAGAGCACAAGAGGGGGGAGCGGGAGAGGGAGAAGCAGACTCCCTGCTGAGCAGGGAGCCCAATGCGGGACTCGATCCCGGGACTCCA